AAATCGAGGAGGGAGTCTTCGCACGGGAACGATCGTTTTTGGCACGCGGCACGCATTCCACTTCCATTCAGAGAATCTTGGTGACTTATTGGATGTGACTTAAACCATTGTTTTGTCGTACATTTCTACCTATGTCTATTTCTTCTTCTAATTATACAATGACTTGCACAGGCCAGTCGCTGTGAAGTTAGGGTTCTATTTCTTCAGATGAATCCTGTACCAATTTACTGTCCCCGGATGGTAGACGGCTTGGTTGGCCTGGGCGGGAACCAAAGATTATACCCCCACCCCAGCACGCGTGTTAAGCGTGCCACTTGCCCCTACACAACCTCCGCCTTACGACAACGTTACCAAATATAAAGATAGAAAACACACAAAAAAATTAATATACAATAAACATTTATATGAAGACATATGGGGGTAAATGCTTAGGCTCACCGTGTTTGCAACAAGTACAATTAGAGAGGAACTGGCGTGTGGGTCTTAAATAACCTCATTTTAGAGCGGAAAGGGCCTAATGGCAAAAACCCATCCATCATACGCGGGAGGGTTAAATCTCGGTTCAGCTTCTGCCTGGGCCAACCAAGCTATCTGCACCGGGGCCGGCAAAGTGGCTCCAGATTTTTTTGGAGGGGGGGGGGGGAGATAAAAACGTCTGGCCCCTGTAAGCCACTGCATGGACTACAATTGCATTCAACAACCCTTTCGATTCCGAATAGAATTAAAAGCAGTTCTCATTTCCAAAAGGGACTTATCAACCACGAAAGCTTTGTCCTTTTTTGTGTTCCTACTTCAGTCCCCTTTTCCGTTCTTGCTCGCACCTTGTGGTAACGGACACATCGCATCAAGAATGATCAAGAATGCACGCAGTGAATACTTACCATCTTCGCCTGGGTTTGTGAATCACAGTACATAGCACGTGTACCGCCTTCCAATGTGAATGACGCGACTGGTACGAAAACCTAAAAACTTTACTACAGAGAACTACTTTCCGTTTTTCCCGTAGACCCATTTCCCGTTCGACTCATGCATTTATTCATACAGTCACAAAATCTTCCTACTGGTAGAATACAGTGAGCACATGCGAAACCTCGATTAACGACACACCTCCTTCAATGAGTACATTTCATGAAACGTTCTTGATAACAACAAACACGTCAGGACAAACCATCTTCTTCGTAAACATGATGAAATCTTTGGCAATACGCATCGCACCGCTGAAATTCGGAAAGTAACAAAAAGAACAGTTAATAAACTTGTCAAGCCAACAGGTCGGTAAAAATCGAGAACACATTCCGCGATTGCAGTTCATAGATCAGGGTTCACAAGGGCATTTTCAGGTGCTTATTAATCCACCAGTAAAGGAGAAAGCTGATACAGCCGACGAAAACGTCTTAATAAGGCCCGGCCGATTCTAAGAACAACTAAATAGGCGCAGATATGCTCAGCGCTAGCATGAGAGACCGGAAAATCTACAGGATAAAGATAAAGAAACATATAGGCATAGGGCATCTACATACTGTCAGAATCAACTAATCTGAAGAAGGGCAACCAACCTAAACCACAACCCTTAGCGGTCCTAGCACGCATTTTTGAGTGGGAAAAATGAGACGAGCAAGAGGTTACGGACCTGTAAGGTCAGAGCCCGTTCATACTTCGCGATCCAATCGCAGGGATCGCACGATCGGACCGCGATTGTACCGAGCCAGGGGCGCTCGAGTGTTTGTACCCTGAGCCGATGGCGCTCTATCACCAATCGCTGGACGAAGCTCGGTGGAGAATTCAACTGGGCCATACACCGTATAAACGCGACCAATCACCCGTGCGATCAAAGCGATCAAATCGCGGAGTATGAACCGCACTCTTATCAATCTTATACGGGGAAGAGATTCCACCAACTAGGGGACCGTGAAATGTGCCTTTAATATCACCACCTACGAAGCATTCACTCACGATTTTAATCCATTTCCGTATTGTCCAATCATACCCGGCTCCATCCTTTTGAGGGAATGACCAAACGATACCACAGAAATAGCCTATAACAAGAAGAAATGAGGTAAGGCTCAACATTCATTTTCGACATTTTTATTGAGTTTTCTAGGAATGCATTTTAAATACCTCTTTTCTATCCATACCGCATCCGTCATCGAGTATAGATAACATACCACCGTATTCTTCATTTGGAGCTAAAAATAGAAACTTTTTCTTGCTGTTCATTGTCTTGCGCACATTCAGTCTTGCACTTCAATGGAAAACATGAATAAGAGACATTGCAGACGTGAAATAAAAAAGAACGAGCTTATTTAGCCTCTGGGCTCAGAGTGCTCTAGGTACTTAAAATCATTTTCGTTTTGCTTTTTTGCACAAAAGGCAAACACAGAAGACTTGAATCACCGACCCTAGACCTCTCTAGTTTTTGACAAGAACCTCCATTATCATATCCATTTCCCGGCATCTTACAGTATCTGAAGCCCCACCTCTC